GCAAATCCTTCCATGTGATTGTTCTTCATGCCAGCCCTTCACACTGGTGACCTTCTTTTTTACAAAGAGTAAAAGTTGTGAGTCCGTGATTTCAGACATTTTCCTATAGGGACTTTTCATCAGCTGTCACTTTTTTAACAGCTTCTGCCTGAAACGTGTCAAACATGTTGGCTGGTTTCTGCAATAACACGCCAGAAACCGAGTTTTATAGCCAGTGGTGCTCTAAAACGATGCTCTCGGTTGGGGTCGCAATGCCAATCATGATTATTTACTTTGCAAAGAAATATCAACAATAACAACCAAAAAAAAAAGATTTTACATGTTTGGACATCAAACAGGACAGAAGAAGCAGTGAAGAAATGTATTCATTTAAATTGTCAAATATTGCATGTTGACAAGTTTGTACGTTAAAAACTTATGTTTATATGTTTATAACATGTTATTGTTTGGTGTGTTCCCTGAACTTAAAATCCATGAAAATACTGTGACCTAATGGCACAAAATACGCATTATTTAATGGAAAATAACCCCAAACAGTGAAGTGACACTGTACTATGATCATAACTATAAAATGAAACAAATAAACAAGATAACTTTTAGCTTCTGTTAAGACCGTTTGCTGTCGTGATGTCTTCTGTGCTTTACATTTAAATCGGGATCATGAACACAACCAGTTAATTTATTATGTAGCACCAGTGGGCTCATTAGCACAGAAAAAAACTATGAAAATGAATTTGCTTGCACTCCTTTATAGGATTATGCATTGTGTGTAAGTATTTAGTTTTTTATTTCATGTTTTCAATTTCACAGAAGCTACATGCAGCATGGTGCAATAGCGTACATTGATTCTGTAAGATGAAAGTGGCATTTCCTGCTCCACATAATGTGACGGGTGAATCAGAGGAGATTGTTAGCCTCCGATGTCCTGGAAGCTGATTCTTTTTATCACAAGATCTTAGTGCTCTTATGGTCTAAACCATGTGACTTGTATGAACAAGATATTCATTTGTGCAAAGTTATTAAGAAGGTATTAATGTCAACATGTAACATCTTTTGTAAACAAGATATTAACTTTTGCTGACCACAAACAAGATATAAATGTCATACTAACTTGTTCCAACAAGCAATTAACTCGTGTAAACCAGATAACTTGTATGTGGGAACAAGATATTAACTTGCTGTTAGCATATTAACAAGATATTGTGCAATCAAGATTTGAATTTGTGGGAACTAGGCATTAACAAGATATAACTTGTGCCAGATAGATATTAACTAGTGCAAACAAGATAACTTGCCCACACAAAGTAATCTGCTGCACACACTTTCTTTTTGATGGTGTGGTCTACCAGAGCTTATAACTGGTTATATATGGCATTATAAAGCCTAATGCATGGTGGACACTGAGACAAACTCAGGATAAAATCTCTTTACACACTGCTGAATGTAGGTAAAGCTAGCTCGAGTGATTCCTGTGTCTAAGCTGATATTGGATAAAACCTTTGCACTGATTTTTCTTTTTTTGAGAAGTTAGGCTATTAAAATAACTACTTTTGCATTCCTGGATCCATACTTGGTTGTTATTCCCATGCATAACTTTTCTAACTTAAACATCAATGATGTGACCACTGTCAAGTTGTTTCTAGCATCTACTACTGTGAAGTTTCCTGGCTGAAAATGTCACAAAACATAATCAGTAAACATCAGGATTTTGTTTGCATCCTACAGAATCAATGGTTTATTTTCTAAAGCTGCCACTATGCATTTTTGTCCAACATTCATACTGAGAAATGCATAGATAAAGAGAGAAACCAACACTGACTTTCTAGTGAAGCTAAATAGCAACAGGAAGAGTTTGGAGGCCGGTCGTAGGAGTGTGATCCGGTGAGACAAAATCAGCGTCCGACCTGCATAAGCAGTGTTAGAATCCACCAGAGCACAAGATATACACTTTTGACATGACAAGCACAAAAGCCACATCCATGGAGAAGCATGTCTACACCTCTTGGGAACACGTCGCAAATAACTGCCGACTGATCAATTCTGTTTTCCCCCCAGATGTGCAGGGGTCATTTCTACCTTTTTATACTTGTACACATGTCCAAAAGATGGGTGCAGCCTTCCTTAATAGCAACATGTGTGACTTTGCTTGTTGTGATTTTCAGTCGGTGTCAAACTGTCAAAATGTATTTTCCAAAATTTCAGTTAAAAAAAATGCACAGATGATTAACTCTGTAAGCAGCATGTTTGTTTAGAATAGAAAGTGCCAAAGACTGGTGTACTCTCACTTTCCCAAGATTGAGAACAGTTATTGTATCAGATGTTTTTTTCTGTGTTGCCAGATTGAGCCAATAAAGAAAAAGAAAACTTGGCTTCGTAAAACGGCCGATAAGTGTGTTTATTGTGGGACTGGGAAGGATGACAAGACAAGTGTAAACAATGAGCAATCAAAATCAAAGTGTAATTGCATCATCAACTTCATCTGTTAAAGCTACAGTAGGTCACTTTTTCACGTATTCTGACAGTAGTGACTACCGAAGACAATAAGGCGCTCTGGCTCTTCCTTAGTGCCCTTAAATGGGCACTTGCAAGCCACCTCCCGCCCGGGGCGCGAGATTGCAAAGAGACGCAGTAGGGGTACACGAGACGTG